AAACATGCCCTGTTGTCGTGAGAAACAAGTGCAGAATGAAAAACATCCATTTAAACTCAGGCCCGCCCCGGCCCACGAGGATGAAAACGGGATCCCCGTTTGCGTTACTGTTTAGTGTCATATAGACCGTTCGGCCCACACTAGGACGACCGATAATGACAGTAAACAACTGCGGTAAACCGATAACGGGTCACAAGGTGGATAGAACGGCCATACGCAACGCTCCTGGGGGTGTCCAACGGCTCCGTGTGTGCGCCTATACGATCCATTTTCTGATAATGAGATGCAATAGCCCCCGCCTATTCCCCACCTCTGCTGCTCACCCCCCACGTCAAAGTAAACCTGCACACCGAATTCCAGATTATTTATCTCTCTGTCGATATGGACATAAACCGGCGAGTGAAGTCTAATCTGACAGGAACGGAGACACGCAGCTCTGCTCACCTGCAAGCTTCCTCCCCGCTGTGATGCGCGGGGAACGGAGTAAAACCACACACTTCAAGTCAGATCATCACCCTTATGCCTATTTTAATTACCTCTCAAACTACTAAAACTAGTTATAAATATGTTTATTTTTACTGTCGGCCGGGGTCACTCATTACTGGATCAGCTGCTGCATGAGAACTGATCACTGGACGCGTCCGAAAGAGAGGGAGGAAAAGAGAGGCTCCCGTGTATTTTATTATTATATTATATAGAGTCGTTACTCATTTGTTTTAAAGCTCAATAAATAACAAAGAAGTACCTTGACCGCACTTGTTCATAATTTTTCCGGAAGATTTAAACTTTAACACACAAGTTGACCTGGCGAAAAACTCTGCACGGTTCCCTCGGCCCCCCACCGCGGAGAATAAACAGAAGGGCAACCATGACAACCATGGCTTCTTCGCTGCTTTTGTGGAGGAAGTTACGAGCGCCAACGTACAGGCCCCCTGCATATGTACTGCAGCTTTTCAGCGGGTTGGAGCTAAACGGAGCTGTCTCGTGTGGACAGTCACTATCCGGTGAACATTGCGTGTGGATGGAAACTTTTTTGCGTTTGCGTTAATCCTATGCGTTTAGCCGTATGCGTCCTCGTGGGGCCGGGGCCTCAGATTACTGCTCTGTGATGCTAGTTCAAGCAGATACTTGGCATCTCATCTTGGGTGCAAGTTCATCAATGTTTGGGCTCAGGCTCTGAGCTGAGGAAACCCTCAGGATTGAGTGAAGGTGTGCGTGCAATATACCGGCGGGCCAGATCTAATAGTAGTTAGAAATTATCCTGCGGGCCGAAATAAAATCCACCAAGGGCCTGATTTGGCCCCTGAGCCTTGAGTTTGACACATGTGGTCTAGATGAAGGTAAAGGGTATTTTGCATATTTAAGTAAGAGTTATTTCCATTAAACAACATCTTTATCGGGAAGTTTCTGATCAAAAATCTTTTTATTGCGTTTCGACAATGCATAAGTAATGTTTTGTCATTTCGAAGTGGAAAGCAACATATATGCATACAAATGAGACAATGGTCTGTACTGATTGTATGTACAAAAAGAAAAAATGATTACAAAAAACACAAACAAACAATAACAACGTGGATTTATTGGGAAGTTTGTGTGTGAGGTTAGCTGAATCCCACCCTCACAGCAGCGGCGTGTGTAATTAGCAGAGTTAGCTTACTTTGGGTGACAGTACAGTGAAGTATTACACAGAAGCAGACATCTTAGTCGCGTGGGAACATGTTCGCGGGCACTGAGAGGGGTTCAGTGGGAGAATAGTGTAAGAGGAGGCGTGTGTAGTAAGCAGTTGGCTCACAGAACAAGGCCTGCTTCTCCTCCAGACCTCCTGCAGCTCGGGAAAGATTGAATCATCATTAATTATGAAGTCAGCCCTGGGGAATTCAATCTGTCATAGGTTGAGGGGGGGTTTTCAGTGCACTCGTGTGTGATTCTGTTATCTTTGTTAATTTGCTCCCATCTTCCTACTGCTATTCCTTACATCTCTCTCCAGGGGACACAGCCTACTTGATGAATATCAAATTGTAAGATGTTTGGCTCATGTTTGTCTGTGTACTCTTTCAGCGCGAGGCCAGGTAGCAGTGGGGTCTACTGGACCTGCAGGTGCTCCCAGACCAGTGAGTATACATCTGAATACAAAAGATTATCCTATTTGTAACGGATTTTTACCCAAATTGTCAATACTTTCTATTCTCTATTCCTTTTTTCATCATCCAGAATATCCCTCCTCGAGCCGGCGTGATCAGCATACCCCCTCAGTCTCGCCAACAACCTCCCTCTCACCCTGGAGCCCCCAGGCCCATCACAGAGGTTCATCCTGGGGCCCCTCGACCCATCCCAGACAACCACCCCGGGGCCCCGCGACCTGCTCTGGCCAAACCCACGGACCTGCCTCTGGGTAAGGAAAAGTGTTTTCCCAAAGGGCAATCGACAACGCTAGAACAGTTATTAAAGCTCCCTATTACACTGTTTTTCATCAATATATTATAGGTCTCAGATATATACAAAACATGTCTCTGAAGTGTTTGGCTCCAAATACCAAACAGATCATTGCAGCATTACCCATAATCCCCTCTGTTTCAGCCCTGTTTCAAAAGTGTTGATTCTCTGTCTGTTACTTTAGATGAAAATAAGGAGCCCCTCCCTACGCCCCTCTGAGAGAGATTTGGTTAAAAAGAACACAATAGGCGCTTTCACACCGGAGTACTTTTCCCAGTATAGTTCCAGTATAGTTCCGAAATGTTGCGTTCACACCAAAAAAATCTAGAACTAGAACTTAGTTCATGAGAACCTTTTCACCCCCTTTTCAGTCCCTGCTCTCAAGCAGGGACTTTCATGGAAGAAAAAGGTTCCCATTTCTGATTGGCTGGGCGGATTGCAATCCACGCCCCGTAAAACTCCCAAAANGACGTCCTAAACTCAGGGACCGCTGCATCACCAATGACTACCATGCCGGAACAATAAACCAGGGTCGAGAGACCGTGCCAGTAAGACGTGATCCAGGGCGGGGCGCACTACAAAGACCCTAAAAAGCGAGTGCGCAAGGAACACTAGTAAAACTCGGGCGTGCCCCACTCTAGAACGGCGCCTCGGGGTCTAGCTCCCTGCTAAATAGTCAACCAGGAACATACAGAAGGTAAAAGATCTATTAACCGAGGGTTGTCAACTAAAAGAAAGTGGGTGCGTTCGACGAATGGATAACCGTCTAAGTCAAGGAAGGGTCGGACCACCGTCCAGATTGGTAAAACAAACGCAACCCACAGGCAAACTCGTCGAGAAACCAAAGACCCGGCGTATCACCTCAAACCTCACACTGACAAACTCCAACACCTGCCCACACCGAAAATATTCCGACTATTGTCGCAAGTTTGTCCCACCGGTAATTATGTCACATTGTCACCTCGCCTGTCTCCTCCTGAGAATTTCTTCTTCAATGGTCCAGACACACTCTCGGTGTCTTTTAGAACAAACAAAACATCACCTGGTTTTTGAATGAAATGGCTGCCTTAAATGTTTAAGTAAGTAAATTTTACGGATCGTTACACTTTTAAAGGACTAAGAAAGGCGGGGGTTAAGACAAGAGTATTAAACTTTCACATGGATCCTACTTTTAATTGTCCGGAGGAGGAGTAGAAAAATTCACCCTCTTGAATACGGTGTTAACCACCGACTGATTTTTATGCGAAACAACGGGGTTGACATATAGCGTCGATTTGTAGTCTTTTCACTGTCCCCTCACTTTCAATCTCGTACTGACGTCGGTTCGGGTCGAACCGTATAAATTGTGTAGGTTGTTAACATAAGAGGCTAAATTAAACCCACCTATGCCGAAAACTTGTAATTAAATTTTCAATCATCGCGAATTTTGCTTGCGGTTCATGGTCAACCGTTAGTCCCCGTAGGTCAGTCCAAATTTCTCTCCGAAGTCAGTATGACCTACCAGGTCACCTTACATATGTGCTGAAAACACAGTTTCGGTAGTGTCGTTACGTATGTTTTATGACCCCCGCCCCGTGTGGGGATTGTGAAACAAAGACAAAGTTTGACTTTTCCTCGTAACGTTGAGCTGTCGGAAGGAGCCTGATACCGTTACACCGAGCACTCTCGCATGTCTTCCCCTCATCGTCGGGCGACCATAACTTACGAATGTCGACACGGTAATTCGGTGTCAGAGTGATTAGTGAAATGAGGTCTCCCCGGATAGATTGACCGTCTTCCCGGGTACGGAGGAATGTCCACACTCTTTCTCTGTTTCGTCATCCTCTTGTTTCTAACTACATGTGGACGAAATTCCAGAATATGAGCATTGTGCCAGCTTATTCAATTTATAGGTTGTGAACGTTAACCTCCTAAATATAAACATAAGGAAGGCTCGCTTCTCGTACGAAAACATTAAAATTGCTCTCCCAACTTTGCGAATCGGACTTCCACCACCACCCGCAACTCCCCACCGACCAAGACCGAGACCCCCCCCGGCGGCCCGCTCCCCGCCACCCGCAAACCCCGACGGTATCTACATCCACGTCCGCCGCACCTTCAGTTGGTCCTCCCGGGGACCTGGTCCTAAATTCCCGTCGAACGTTTACTTTTTTCCCCCCGCCAAATTCGACTCGTCTCAAAGTCGGGTTACACCGTTTAACAAAGGTTTCTTTAAAAAACTTGATCAAATCGCGTTTTATTATGACATAAATGTAAAAGACAAAATTAATAATTTTTTACAATAAGATAAAATTTAGATTAACCAAAATTGGAACAACCACCTAGGACC